AGGCGTTCCGAGCTGATTTGATCGCGACAATGATGAATTCTTTTTCAAGGAGAGAGACCCTTCTGAAAATTAGTTGTTTAGTTCTTTCGTCTGAACTTCCGCAAGAACTTGCATAAGAACCGGTATAAGAATTGATTATGTCCTTAAGTAAGGACCTATAGGTGTTTCTCAAAGTAAGAGGTTAACCATTAGGGCAATTTCGATTAGTATTCATGATTCAACGGAAAATATAACTTAATACTGTACGTATACCGTAGCCAATTAATTAGAAGCAGTAAATTATTTATACAATAAATTATCTTCATTAATTTGTTGTAAGCTTTTTATTACACGGAGTAATATCTAGTTCGCTATTTGAAAATATTTTGATTGCCATGAGCCATCGTAGCTCAGCGGATAGAGTGCAGGACTCTTATGCAGGAGACCTAGGTTCGATGCTTGACAGTTATTAATGGTTTTTTAATAAAAAAATATTTTTCAAAATTAACACTGCGGCTCTATAATATGTATAAAATTGATTTGAAAACTTTCGATTGCAACAAATTCATACTTATATTAATTAAATTGGCCGCTGGGATCTCAATTAACCACTCTGGGGTGAGTTTCTTGTTCCCTTATCTATTGTTACGTCGATACTAAGAAAACGTACGAGACGAACCATGATAACTAATTAACTATCACGAGAACACATATGATAGGTTATGGTAACTAATCGGGTATCGGTAATTTAACTTCCTATCGTACCAACCCTCCCGGGAAGATTTGTAAATCTATCTAGCTAGATAGATTAGGCTAAGCACTTTCTCCATAATATTTCCGCGAATATTATTCACCGTATATTAATTTGGTAAAAACGAGGGAAGAGGCACATTACCTATGGTATAAAAAGGCTGGATCAGGATCCGCGATTACTCATACTCATACTGATTCTCACTCACTCAGTAAAAGAGTAGTAACTCAGTAATTTAGTTACTGTATTATTTCTAAGTTTCGCTACTCGGCTACTCAGAACCGGAATTATACTCTGCTATGCATTATAAACTTGTCTATCAACAATAAATCTTAATCAAGTGAAAACACCTGAAACTGTTGCATAAAATCTCTTCTGAAGCCCAGTCCTAACAAGGTATGAAACTAAGTTATCTAAGTACGCTACATATAATAAAGGCGCTATCCCTTTAACCAACCTCTGCATATCTCCTAACTAAGATCCAACTTTTACCAACGCGACGAATTTTAAACATGATTACGTCTGGCCATAACACCTCCTCGTCTAGGCATAACACTATCTTGCAATCGAGATAGTGTCGGAGGCTAAGCCCAACCTTTAGTACTTGGCATAATGCAGGGGTTTAGAATAGAAGATCTCTGAATTATATTCTTGAGCCGCTTGACTTTGGCTAGGTTATTGTTAGCGAGTTTTTCCCATTTGACAACAGGCAGAGTTGCTTGAGGAAACTGTTGTTAGCGCAAGATGAGCCAACGATTTTTTTCATATTATAGTTGAAGTTAGAGCAATGAACATTTTTACAGAAAAAAATAGTGGTTTACTTTAACCCTGCTAAAACAAGGACATTCAACCGGATTGAAAATCCAATCCGCTTCGAGTCTGTTTCTTAATCCTACAAATGATAATTTAAATTTATCAAACTGGAATCGATTTGAATCCCCTTTAATATTTTTCTATCCTGAAATTAATTATTATAATATGTAAAATTAATTTCGAGATAAAAAACATTAAAGTGAATTAAGATTCATTCTCCCTGCTAAAAAAGTTCCATTCATTCCTATTCGGGATCATTCATATTCAATGGTAATCAATGAACTGAATGGTTCAATGTTCCGATGACGATTGAAACTGAATGATTTTCAATAATACTTCATGGTAAGCATAACTAATAGTAAAACTTACCATTAAATTTAATAGAATTCAATCTTTCTGAATAATACTTTGTATAGGAATGGTTTCAATGATAATCTATCCAATTGCATTGAATGAATATCAATCACAGTTCAATAAAATAATTAATCAATGATATTTTATTGTATATCTTTCTATGAATTTTAATAATTTTTCGATACAATAATTGTCCAATCATATTTTATTGAATCATATTATATGGATATTAATTTTTATCCAATTACACGGTTGGTCAATAATATTTTATAGAATGGTTTTCCATATATGCCAATATGAGCAAAAGCAATACTGTAACTTTAGCAATATTTCATTTAATAGTTTTTTTTTTTAATCTTAATGATTGGTCAATATAAAAATAACCCAATCGCATTCAATGAGGTATAGTATTCTATAATTTCTTATGAAAGGCAAACAAAAAAATTTCAAATATTTTCAATTGAATATTTTTTAATGAAATCTAATGATTGGTAAATGCAAGTAAAACTCAATCGTATTCTATTGAGAAGTTGTTTGTATAGTTTTGAATAATCCTTCATTCTACAAACTTATCAAATATAATTTTATTCTATAATTTTTCATTAGATGATGAAAGAAAAAATGTCCATAATTGAATGATTTTTTATAAATTTGAATAGTTGTTCGATACTATAATTGAAGAATCGTATCTTATGCTTTGGATATTATAATTTTATATAGGTCATGAATGAAAAAACTCCGTATATGATTTGATTGAATAGACTTTTATCAATTTTAATAGTTTTTAAGTAAAAACATATTCGAATATAATTTTTAATGGGTATTCAATTTTTTTTCAATTGTAAATAAATGGTTTTTCATGTACATCAACAAATTACAAAAATTGACATGAACATTATTATTGGATTTCAAATGAATTGGGCATTTTGCATAAATATCTAGCATTTCTAACGTCTACCAAAATTATTTTGCAATCTATTTCACCAATGGGTTTGATGAGATCAATCTCGTTTTCGCTTTGAATTTTTCGGATATGAGTCACTCCTTCAAATGGATATTCTGGAAATACGTTGTACGTTTGTACAACAATGTATGAATCGTCGTCATGTTCGAGAATTTTTGTTATTCTAGCGTATTGTCCACTAGTAAGTCTAACGACAGTATCATCATTGCGATAAAAGACCATTAATACCCATTCAATTAGATTGATATTTTCTATTGCATATTATTGAAATGTTAGGACTTTCATATTCAAAACTATTGGAAATTATTCAACGATACGAGACTTGAATGTTGCAATAACAAACCATTGATATCAATTCAATCAAATTGATTATCGCATTCGAATGGTTTCAAATCTTCGATTTGACCACGAATTTTACCATTGAAATCGATTGGGTAACATACATGAGAAATTTCATTGAATCCTATTGAAAACCATTACTTTAATAGTATATTTTTCTATTGATAATGATTAATCTCGATTAGGAATCAATAGTAATCTATATTATTGGAACCAATAGTATTTAATATCTTGACATTTCTTGTTGGACGAGGAATCATATTCAATGGTCATTTGGAGTGTTCAGATCGAAGATTGAAAACCATTCAGAAATTCTTCAATGGTTTTCAATGGAACTTTTATAGCAGGGCTACTTTAATGAATTTCAATTATCATTTGTAGGATTCAGAAATAGACTTGTCACGTCGATACAAAAGAAAACGTACGTGACGAATTATGATAAGTAAATAACGGGTTATGGTAACAACCCGGGTATCGGTAATTTAATTTCCTATCGTATCAACCCTCCCGGGAACATTTGTAAATCTATCTAGCAGGATAGATTAGTCTAAGCACGTACTGCATAATATTTCCGCGAATATATTACTCACCGCATATTAATTCGGCGAAAACACAGGAAGGGGCACATCAGCCTATGGTATAAAAAGGCTGGATCGGGATCCGCAAAAAACAGTTCAGCAGTTCAGAGCAGTTTAGTTCGCACAGCATACGTTTCGCGCAGTACTAATGGAGTTATTTTTAAGTCTCGCTATCCGGTTACTCAGAACCGGAATTATATTCTGCTAGGTATTATAAAAATTGTCTTTAAACAATAAATCTTAAATCAAGCGCAAACACCTGAGACTGTTTGTAAAAACCTCTTCTGAAATCCAATCCTAACAAGGTAAGAAACTAAGTTATCTATCTAAATACGCTACATATAAAAAAGGCGCTATCCCTTTAACCAACCTCTGTTTAACTCCTGACTAAGATCCAAATTTTACCAACGCGACAGTATTTTATACATTATTACGTCTAGCAGTAGCATCTCTTCGCTTAGACATAACAGACTCAAAGCGAATTGGATTTTCAATCCGGTTGAATGTCCTTGTTTTAGCAGGGAATGCAAACTTGAATCGTTAAATTATCTTAAAAGAAAATTTTTTAAAATTATTTTCTATAAGTTCTCCCAGAATTTCTTCTTTCGTAAGAACTTGCTGTAAAGGTTGATCTCCTATTTCAAAAACACTCGTAAGTCATTACGTAAAAACTTATGTAAGTTCTTATACCGGTTGTTATGAAAATTCATCTGGAAATTATTGCTGAAAAATTTCCTAACTTATTTTTACGAGGAATAATAAGATTTAGATAACAAATGTATTTGCTAATTATTTTAAACGTAAAGGTACCTCATACACAACGGAAATCTTCGTATTGTGCGACGCATGCGCCAGAAGCCATAGCTGTTATGCTGTGAGCAAAAAAAACTAATATTTTATATTTATTCCAAAACCATTGTCATTTTCTATGAAATAATAAGTTGGTGTTTTCAAATTAAAAAATAACATCTCCTGAGTGCGAGAAAAAAATAGTTGAAAGATGTTCAGCAAAAATGTTTTTTTTTTTAACAATTATTCTTTAACTAAGCGAGGCGATATTTTGTTAAAGACGAATTTCTAACGAACATGCCACGTGGAATTTTTGATAGATTGGTTTTTAATTTTCCGATTATAACTATGCTGGGGTCACGGAGGTTGGTTCCATCGCTATTTAGTCTTATTTAGCGTGGTGAGTTCTGATTCGCTCCAACTAAAAAGCCAATCAGGATACTCCAGCTGTCTAAATGAATAGGTTCTGGATACTGTAAATTCGTGGGTAGCTTATACCGAATACCCAATATCATTTACTTGGGTTCGTAAATGACAAGTAAAATTAAAAATTTTAAATATAACTGAAAAAATGTATTCTTTTATTAGATGGTTCATAATATTATTTGCATCCAGTACTTGTGCAGAAATTTTTTTTGAAGAAACTTTTCCTGATGGTAAGAGTATTTTATATAAATTGTGATAATTTTTTGCAATTTTAAAAGATTTTTAAAGTATATTTTGTAAATTTGTCTATTATACCGTTGTGTAGTAAATATACTCTTTTAAATTAAAATGTAATGTACAATGTTATGGTATAAACTTAAATACGAAATAGAATAAAACAAATTATTTTAATAAATTTTTCATCTGAATTATGATAATTGACACATTAATAGTCCAAGTAATGGTTATTATATACTTTTGATTCTACTGAGGAGTTAAATCAGGCAATTATATGTTTTTATTCATTTATTTCTATGAAATTCTAACAGCTTTTGATATCTGATCTGTGGCAATGATTTTTCATATAAATTTAAGATATTAAAAATGTTGTTTATTTAATGTCAAGCATTTTATGAAATAATATAACTTAAAATATTTGAAATAATTACTTGTTTTACACTATTTATACATATTTGTACTAGACATGTCACTATTAAGAAAGCAATTTCATAACTTCTTTTTATGAAAAATACTTCTGACTTGTCAAATTCATAATACTACTTTAATATGGAATCTACAAAAGGAATATTAAATATTTAAAATTGTTTAAAAAATTTTTTCCAATATAATAATAAAATTATGATTCATATTGATAATGTAATCACAAAAATAATATCAATTTTACTTTTAGTACAGTTTATTACAATTTATTTATTTCAATATTTTTAATTCTAAATACAATGCAATGTATGTCCTAAGAGTTACAAATTTCAAACAAATATAAAATTAATTGCTTTTAACAGGTTAATATTGACAGTTTTATTCAAATAATAAATTTTTGTATAAACATATTGAATATCAAACTATATAATTTTAAGTAATTATTTAATCAATGCCTTTTACCGTGATTTTAATTCATTGGTACCTTCATATAAGCCTAGCATGAATATATATATTTAGTATAAAAATTTAATTATATGATATTTTGATTAATGTTTTTCACATCATGTTTCCATTTATATAAATAGCTATTATAATTTTGTTAATTCATATTTAAAATGATTAAAACTTGTGAAATATTGCAAATTTTTATTAATAAATAGAAAGAAAACACAGTGAATCAAATTAATAATTGAGTAATTTAATTGTAATAGAATTACAATATGTTATGATTCAATGTTGACAAATATTTGCATGAACTTTACATTAATTACATTAGTATTCTTAACTGACAATGAAATAATATTTAATAAATGAAGTTAATATTTGTTGTTTGAGATATTCGTATATATTAAGGGGACAATTAATATCTAAGACTGAAGTTTTCCTAATCATATTCTAAAACTTTTGTTATTATAGATATAATCACAAAACTTTTCCTATCTTAAAGCATTAAACGGTTATCTAAAAGTTGTCCAATATCCTCATACTCTTGAAGTAGCTAATATGAACTTGAAAAGTAAATTATAGCTTCAAATGGATTTGGGTTCTTCTGAAAATGTGTAGGCTTTTGACTGGGAAATCTACTAATAGTTTTATTAATAAATTTTTTAAGAAGTGTATACAATGAAGCAGTTATTCTTTTACTACTATGGAATGGAAAAAGTTCTACAACATTAAGAAGTAATAATATTTGAAAACTTTTGAACATGTGGTGTTACTTTAGCGAATTTTTATATAAAGTTTCATTCAATAAAATTTTAAATATATTTGTTATACGTGGTAACTAATTAAATAATAGGTCTTTTGGTTGATTAGATATGTTTTAACAAATTGGTTTCGGTAAGTTAAAAAAAATTATAATAACTAATTCAAAGCTGTTCTAGTTTCTGTAATTGTTATATGCTTCAAGTATCTTTCAAGCTCTCTAGTTACATATGTATAATATATCTATATACTTAACTATATTTTAATTCAGAAGACTAGTATAGTGTCACTCTGAAGAGCTTAAATGATTATATCATGACCTCCCTTACCCCAGTCTGCAAAGTGTCATGGACAGTGAAAAAAAAAATACCATTTTAAATATCTCTAATTGAACCCTCCAAAAATGCTCATTATTTTAATTAAACCCCTTTAGTTGCCCCAAAAAAAGTTAAAAACTATGTACATTTTTTGATTTTATGCAACTGCGATACTTAATATTTTTACAGAAAAATAAGACAAAAAAATTGAACCCTTGCTCATTTTAATTGAACTCCTCATACTTTTTTAAAATTATTAATATGTACGACAAAAACAACAATCTAATTTTATTGTATGTTCCTACTAAAATGCATGCGCGTTAACAGATCTTTTTAGGAAGAACATACAATAAAATTAGATTGTTGTTTTTGTCGTACATATTATTAATTTTAAAATAGTAAGAGGAGTTCAATTAAAATGGGCAAAGGATCAGTTTTTTTGTCTTATTTCTTTGCAAAAATATTAAATATTGATATATATATCGCAGCTTCAAAAAACCAAAAAATGTACATAGTTTTTAATTTTTTTAGGACAACTAAAAGGGTTCATTTAAAATAATGGTCATTTTTTGAGGGTTCAATTACAGATATTTCGAATGATATTTTTTTTTCACTGTCCACTACACTTTGTTGGCTGTGGTAAGGGGAGTTATATCATGTATTATATTAATAATACCTAAACACAATGTACATCTGCCACAGTGATAGGAACCTGTAAAAAATTGCAAATGATTAATACAGGCTGAGGTTTAGATGTATTCCTAATATTATAAATAAATATTCCTAATACATTCAACTTCTTATTTGTATTTGAGAAAGCTTGAGTCATACACTTCTATGAATCAAAATTCATTATCATAGTTGCATTAAAGTTGAATTAATTGAATTTTTCCGACTGTCAAATTATCTATCATATGTACAATTGAAAATTTCGTTATTTATTATATTAAATTAATTTGTAATTAAACTGTATATTTGACAGTTAAATATTTTCCATTTTCTTTAATAAAATATCACTAAGGTTATAAACTTTTACCTATTTACTGTATTATAAAGCAAAAATAAATGATAACCAATGTTTAGGAGCATTAGACAGAATTTATTTAATTTGATATATTAATGAAAAAGTATTTATCATTAACAGGTAAAATTTGTAATCCCGTATTAGTTTATTAACTTGCACAACGCCACTGTGTTATCTATGGAGTTTTTAAATTTTCTATATTAGAGAGAGAGAGAGAGAGAGCAATAATAATATAAATTTAAAATATAAATATAAATTTCAATGTATTTGCGAAGGAATTAGCGCCCATTTTCTATAAAAAATTTCTCATTTTTTCTATTATTTCTTGATACTTTATATGTTGTTTGTCACAAGTTTTGCCACAGCACTTATAAATTTATTATTTGAATCCATGATGTACAGTAATTCGTATATGTAACTTATTATATGTTATGTTCACTTACTAGAACACGACAGCGTGCTTCGCGCGCCTATATCATGTATAATGTATGTTTATATAATACGTTATACTATTGAGATGAGCTTAAGACTAAGTACTGAATAAATAGCAGATCGCATTATCGCATCATACAAATTATTTTTCATGAATATAATTCTGTGTACACGTAATATTTAACTATTAAACTTTGTCTTTGGTTTCCCAGATAAATTTTTAACGAATCCCATGATCTTACTCTAGACATAGCGACATAGAGTTGACCGTGATTAAAAACATTTCTTCGAAGGTCAATTCCGATTTTTTTTAATGTTTGCCCTTGAGCTTTGTTAATAGTTATAGCAAAAGCTAATCGAATAGGGAATTGTCGTCTTTTAAAAGTGAATGGATATAGATTTTCACAATACAATGTGATTCTATTAAGGAATATTACGTTATTACATTTATTGCCAGTTAATATTTTACATTTTAATAAATGATTTGAAAAATCAATAATTTGTAATCTTGTTCCATTACACAATCCTTCACTAATTGTTATGTGTTATGATAATATCCAAATACCTTAGATGGTATTTGGTCAATTGTTTTTTATTGTTGGAAATTTTCACGATTTTTGGTTTAAGTTTAATTATGAAATTGTTTATTCGAAAGACAAAGAAATAAGACACTATTTAGGGAAAAAGCCTGCAAGGCATAAAAAACCACTTTTATTTGAAAATGCACTGATGATAAAAGAATTGATACAAAGATTGGATGACGAAAGGAGATTAAAATAGTGAGTAACGCCGCACAAAGTGACTCGTACGCACGCCGGTATTTGTTAGAACAAAGAGAAAGAATGCGCGAGGAGAAATTCACCGACCACGTGGCCGTGCACGCACCGAGAGCTCTTACACACGCACACACACTTTCGCACAATTGATTCTGCGATGAAGGTGACGATGATCCAGATGATATTCGACTCGGTGAAGCCGAACATGTTATATTGGCGATGTGGAGACCAATAACAATAGGTTGTTGATTCGTTGAGAAGCATGGGCTTCTCGCCAGTTGAGAAGCGTGAGCTTCTTGTTGTTTAATCGTTTAATAATCTATTGTAAGTTGTTGCTGTTGCTAGAGTTGTTGACTGTTGTTTTCGTTGTTGCTCGCCGGGAACAGAAAACCAACGGACACGGCGAACAAAGACTCCGTTCGCGAGGTGCAGATGAGAGCTGCGCACGCGATCACTGCTTGCTCTTGACTGCCTGACTGTTCGTTTTCGCGCGCTCTCTCGCTCGCCGGTAACAAATCGTGGGAATCAAGCCCGTAAGGTGGCGCCGCCTAGTCGCCTTTGCGTGGGCCTACCTACACACTCACACATTCGCACACATACATTGTGACGACGGAACACTAATACTTATATTTCTGATTAACATTACTATGCAAAATTTTCTCAAGCGTAATTTATGGGGTGGAAAGTTCGGTGGATTCAATGAATTAAGATATTCAGGTAGAAGAACATCTTGCATTTCACCGTTGTCACAATTCTCTGTGCTGTCAATACCAGTATATAGGTGTTCGGTTCTTTTGTCTAATAAATCAGTAACT